TACCAGTTGTTACCCAAGAAATTTAATTGCATGAACTATTATTCTAAGTTACCAGATCTGTAAGCGAAACACGATTACTGAAGACCCAACAGGGGCATATATATATATATATATATAGATATATATATATATATACAACACGGGCACTTCACACCATCGTATGTGGTCTCCGAGAAGGATATAAACGAATATGTGCAAATGAATGAACCGTACTTAATCCAATGAATCAAAGAATTGAATTCAATTCTTTGATTCATTGGATTAAGTACGGTTCATTCATCTGCACATATTCGTTTATATATATATATATATATATATATATACAGACATGAAGTAAAGTAAATAAAAAAAAAACACTTTACCGGGAAAAGTTATTAAGTCAGAAATGCGCACTGTCGCAGTTACTAATTCGAAGTTTATTACGACGTTTCAAGCGGGGACCGCTCCTCCTAATGGAGAAAGGTCCCCGCTCGAAACGTCGTAATAAACTTCGAATTAGTAACTCCGACAGTAAGAATTGTTTTACTTATATATATATATATATATATATATATATATATATATATATATATAGCATAGGGAGCTAGTCGTAACGATCCATCTGTTAAGTAAAATTTGTTAATTCATGTTTTAGTTGGTGAAAATAGGCATATGGTTCGAATTATAAACTTGCTGAGCGTCATAGAAAGCCACTAAACCAGTCATTTTCGGAAAGCCCTTATATATATATATATATATATATATATATATATATATATATATATATATAAATTGACTGCCCCATGATTAAATTTGCCGTCGCTTGGATTACGATGAACGGGAAAACCTGTAGAGTCAATCGCAACAGCCTCTTTGGCACGCCTTGCGTCGCCAGGAATGAAATGTTGTCAGTACATAACTTTTCGTTTCTGGATGCTTCATCCTGCAAAAAGAGCTTGAACCGGTCAGAGAATCAAGCCGTCGGTCGCCCATAGCTAAAGGATGCTGATTCGAAAGCTACTTGACCTTCCGCTAACGTTACTCCAGCAGGCCGCAGCTTGTTGTGGAACATCGACACATCTCGCATAAGAACCGAGCTTCTTCCGTTCTCCGTTCATCCCAGGAAAATGGCATCTAATTTATTCCCATTTGAGACCTCTTATCGCTACCGCCATTCCGTCCCCGTTTCATTCCATGGTTGCTGCAACGCGAAATAATATCGAAATGATCCTAACTCCAAAGTGGCGATTCCTCAACTCTGCTATGCTCTATCTCACCACATGGACGCGGCGCTACCAGATGTATGGGGGCGAAAGCGTAACTGAAGTATTTGGAGAAGAGGGGAAGAGGGACTCCTTCCTTTCCGGGACGGTTCTTTCCGTTCTCCCATGTCGCTTTTCAGTCCTTGAGATATTAGACCGTTACTCAAAATTCCTACAAAAGCACCTTTCCTCCCCTCTTGCCCATGGCCTCGTAAGCATTGCGCGCAGCTATGGGCCCTTGCAACCCAAGAAGATAGGGCGATAGAAAGGAAGGCCGGGGAGGAGGAAGGAGGCGAAACGCTAATCAGAGGGGGGGTTTCCCCCTCCCTTCTCCAGCGTTCCGTCTGCCTTCTCCTCCCCGGCCCGTCTTACCCTAGCTTTACCTTCTTGAGTGGCAACGACTATAGTGAGCTAGAGTATGGCGATTTTCTGATTAATAATAAGAATATACCCGTACTCTACTAATATACAGGAGGTATATCTAAGTTTTACACATTCGATGAAATGAGAAAAAAAGAATGTGAAAGCTACACTAATTTGTTCGGTGCAGGTGAGATATACACTCAGGGGGGCCATAATAGAAGGGGCTAATGAACCCAATAAGTCAAATACTTCACTAAGATTTCTTTCTTGCCTTTTTAATTATTGACAATAAACTTATGCTTTTAATAAGAAGCTCGCAGAGCGTCACCAAATGCCCCCAAGGAAGTAAATTTTAGAAAGAGTACGGCAGATTCGCTAAAGCTATCCCTGGCGCAATGGGAGCAAGGTTGCCTGTGTAGAAGCGCGGATGAAAAGATAATAAAAAACCACGCGCTCTTGTTTTCGCACCACCATACTCCGTTCGTTTTTAAGTTGAGACTACAAGCTCCGCCATGAGCTCGAGCTCGCCGGCTTCCGCAGTGCTTTTATTGCGCGTACCAGCGCGTTCACACTTGTGCCACCAGGGGCAGAAAGCTCGCGCTGAATGCGGAGCTTATAGTCTCAACTTAAGGGCGAATGGGGTACAGAATTGCGCCTGTGGCACGAGTAGTAAACTGAAGTAATCCTAAACTGTACTTATTTAACGGCTTTTGATGAGGCTCGGCAACTTTTTATTGAAATCATTTCCCTATCTTCAATATCAAAAATACGATTCACTAGTTTATGTAAATTTAAATTAACTCACTTATTGTGATTACTAGCTCCCTATGCGGTTTTTTTAAGCTTTACAGATTTCTATGAAAAAAGCCGTTGGAGTATGCTCTTATGCGGTTTGTGCAGGTGAGTTACACGGCCAAGGGGACATATTATATGGGGCGAATCGTAACAGCCAGTCGTCAATAAGTAAACTGTGTATTTTAATTAGTGAAAATAGACATATGATTTCAATTAGAGTCTTTCTGAGCAAAACCACTAAATCAACCATTTTTAAAAGTACTTTGCGTGCTCGGAAAGCGTAGTAGTGCGGTAAAGGGACCACTCGTGCAGCTGGTATAACGCTGGGGCTATGATATGAGACAGAAAAATCGCGCGGGCGCCTTATTGCACCGGTAGCCTTGCTCCGGCTGCGCCAGTGGTAAGTTTATCACTCTCTTGCGTTTTTTCTGCGCTCAAGGGCTTTCCGAAAATGACTGGTTTAGTGGCTTTCGATGACGCTCAGCAAGTTTATAATTGAAACCATATGCCTATTTTCACCAACTAAAACATGAATTAACAAATTTTACTTGACAGATGGATCTTTACGACTAGCTCCCTATTCTATGTTCCCCTGGCCATAGACCTTACCGGCACAAACCATATAAATGCAGCTTTCACGGTTTTTTTTAGTTCAAAACGCTTAAGGAAACAAAACTTTGTAATGTCCCTTCGGCTGGAAATTCACTTACGGAGTCTTCGTTACTGTAGCTTTCACAACTTCAAAAAACAAGTCTGTGAATACTTAAAAAACAAAAAAAGCTTATATAAATTATTTAGTTTACTAACATTTATATCATTTAGCATCTAGCTGAGCATTTGATGTAAGCGCTTCTACCGCCCGCTTATATAAATTATTTAGTTTACGAACATTTATATCATTTAGCATCAGGCTGAGCATTTGATGTAAGTGCCTCTACCGCCCGCCGGTACCGAGGCCTGTCCTCTTCGCCCGTCGCCCCCCATTATTCCGCTGGTGGTCCGAAGGTCCGAATGGCTGTTGACCGAATGGCTGTCTATTCATTCAACAGACATTAAACTCCTATCGGGACTCAAGAGGACCCAATGTTTTAACAAATAGCTTGCTAAATTTAGCGAGGAAACTGAATTGGCGTTTAGGGCGCATCGCATAAAGTTTTGCAGTAAATTTAGAGGGGAAATCCAATAGCTCTGTAGAGAGCGTGATGTCTATTTTTTTCCGCTTAGTTTAACACAGAAATTGAATGGATGTGTAAGTCAAGTGATGCATTTTTGTGCTAAATAAAACGGGACAACTTTATTGATAAATGTGAAGGATTGCGCGTTTTCGGAGTTTGTTTATTTATTTTTTTCTGAAATTCCGAGGGACATTTTTGGAGTTTATTTATAAATAGAAATTCAGGAATAATTTTTTATAGATTAATATTTTTTTCGAAATTCGAAGTTTAATTTTACATTGCTCTTATGTTTTTCAAAATAATATTAAATAATATTGCACACGAACGTACACTAAATTCATAGAAAAATCACAGGTATCGAAATATATTTCTGCAGCTGCATTTGGCATTGGCGCCTGTGTTATTGGCAGTACTAACTGTTCCACGACAAGTCTTAAAAAAGTGTTACTTCAATAAACGTCGGTACTTTGACATAGCCAAACTCCTAGACGCATAAAACCTTCAGCTGCCTTCCCCATCCTCTGAAATCTAGAGGGTCACTTCTTTTACTATTATGAAAACACTACCTCTCTTCAATATAAGAAGCACCAATAGTACAGTTAAAACTGGAAACCGGAACGGGACAGCGGCTTTTGTCGTGGTCCAGAAGTGCATCGGCCCATTGTATTGAACAATCCTTGACGAGATAAACGAAGAGCTATATTTTGTCAAGGTTCCCAAAATGAAACAAACACTGAATTGGCCTTTTCTAAAAGCCAATAACACTGTGCTCTGACCAACTTTTTTGTAAAATACTGTCTTCTTATTCTTTCATTTCGCCATCATGACTTCGTAATTTTAAGTTTTTTTAAAATAAATTGACACTGTCGAAAATTTTTCCGGCGAGTGTTTTTTCGGAATCGAATTTATCCGAAAACACGGAATCATATCTGCATAGACTACGTGCTCTAAATTTCCCCGTTAAATTTAGTTCGGAAACTACATTAGTGTATAGGCCACGTGACGTCAGACAAACACGATGTAAATTGTTCTATTAGGTTTTTGTGTTTATTTGTATTTTGGTTATCGCTGCTGACTGGTTTATAATACTATGTTTTTATACTGAAATGTTTAGTTTCCTTTCCGTTGTGTCGCTGCTCACGAGTTCGTATTGCTATGTTTCTATGTTGAAACTTTTAGTTTCCTATCCCTTGTGTAATGCCCTCTAATGGGGCGTTCGAGGTATTATAAAATAAATAATAAATAAATAATTACTCGGACGGGCGGTCGTAGGGACGGACAATATTTTGGGATTAGGGGATTCTATTGAAACGCCTTCCGTGCTTTAAAAGTGCCGAAATCGGTGTTTGATAATGCCGTGAACTGTATAATTGCATGTAAAACGTTCCTGCGTAGAGCAATATTTTAGTTCCTTTTTTTCCTGCAGAGTAAAACCGTTGAGAGCTGCAATTACTACTGCGAACCTGTAAAGGGAAGCGGCAGTTTTGAAAAAAAGTACTATAAAGATGGTACGTCGTGCAAGGTAAGTTTCAAATAATTTTATAAGAAGATCTGTATGCGGATAAATCAGAATATGGTACCACATCACCTGTAACGAAAGAAAACATGCAAACTACACTCCTATTCAGATAGATTAACCGGTGTAGATTAAAACTAAAAGTGAAATATTGCTTATCAATTTTTGAATCCATTTTCGGCTTCAATATCTCCGGCTAAAACACATCCTTACAAAATATTCGTTCGCCAGCAATAAATTAAAACTCTGTAGTCCCATATTCTCTTAAAAACTATAAGGTATTCACTACACTGTAAAGGCAAGTCACTGACACGTTCGTCCGCAACGACGTGCGAGTTCAGTGGAGGCAAGACAAGAGAGCGTCAGACAAAAAAAAAAAGAATATACAAGTATTAAAAAAAACGCAAGAAAGAGGAATAGTTTAAGACCACTCGATTAAAGGCTAGAAGAGCTAATCAGACGTTTCAGTCCAACTCCTCCAAAACCAGTCCCCGCTCAGCTGCCACTCACGAACTCGACTTGGGCATCAGGCTTTGGCGAGACGTGATCGTCCCTTTTGGATGCTTGGCCGAAGATGCCTGGAGGTCCGTGGCCTTCCCGGACTGCAGCGTCGCCGGCCGCGGGTACTGTTGTTTCAGAGCTTAGCCGAAGGTCCGTTGACCCTTGTCGTCCAGCAAAAATCTCTCGCGCGCACCCACCAACCTTGGATCTCTCTCTTCTTCATTTACCTTTCTTCGAGAGTGTTAAATTCTTTCTCTTCCTCTACCCGGGGATCCACAACCATAACATTCACACACGCAGAGGAGCGGGAAATCAGCACCGTCATTTGGCAGGATTTAGGGCTGATTTAGCTCGTATATCTCCTTTTCTCACCCGCTGAGCTTTTTTCTAATCACAACTCGCGATGTTTCAATGTAGCCGCCGCAGTGAGATCAAGATTATGCGCTCCCATGCTGATAATAAAAAAGCTCCTGACGGCTTGATGTCCTATTCCATTTATGGTGGCACTCATATAACTTCGTTCAGGTAAAGGGGAAAAATGCGGCATGTATAAAGACAAGCTTAGTCTTTCGACGGTATTTTTTGTGCACAGCATGAAACAATGATGGTCTCAGGCGGAAATGGGTCACTGGTATCATAAGAGCAGTAAAGCACATCATCCTTCCCTCCTAAAAAAAAAGTGTTTATATATATTTTTTTAAGAAAGGAGGAGCGCTCTTGTACGTATGTATTTTTAAAAATGAAGCATTGTTGGTCCCTTCAAACGGAGGAGCCATCTTCACCCTCGTCAACATCTCAATAAGGTGGCTCGGAATCGAGTGAATCGAGCTCACTATAAGGTTTAAAGAGGACGCCAGAACGTAACGCGTATTGTCGGTTTTTACGCGCAACGTTCCCGCAATTCAACCGAAGAGTTTGCACAGTCTGCGGGAAGGCAAATATCTGGCGCCGCTGCCAGTGCCTGCTCAGCAACAATCATTCGAAAAGCGTTGCTTCGCAGCCATTCAAAGAAGTTTCTGTTTTTGGGGCATGTTAACCAATAAGTAAAAACATAACACGAGTATTTTATTAGCAGTATTCATTGCCGAAGCCGTCTACTTCCGCAGGTGGCAAAAAGTACTTTTCGAACTCGGTTACCCAGTCTTCACGTTGTCAAAACGTCAAGGTCCCACGCAGTCCGCCGAAACCCGGTCACTTCACGCACTTTACGTCTTAAGGCCCGTTCACACTCTTGCGACCGAGTACGACTGAGAGAGACGAGATCTCTTAAAACTTCTTAAATGGTTTTAGAATGACGGAACACACTTGCATTGTGGCGCCATCTATGCGGTGACCCTGGAACTGCATTTCACAAGAGCGAAGGTTTTGCGGGATTTCCGAGGTCAAATGTGCGTAATACCCATAGAAAGGCTCGTTTATAACATTGCCAAAAGTTTTTCGTGCCAAAAAAGAAAGGACAATGCGCGAGAAATAATAAAAAAAATATGCTGGACCGCCGAGTTTACACTGCTTCCCAATAGATGGCGCCAGTGTGTTCTCCGGTTTATGAAGTTTTAAGGAACCCAGGTTTAAGAGGTCGCAAGAGTGTGAACGAGCCTTTACCTTTTGCTATTCCTCCCGTGACAATTCCTTTGTTAGCACCGCACATCTGAGGGGAGTGGTAAACCAATCGCGGCACTAAAAGGCGCTTTCAAAACAGCTCTCTCAATAAGCCTACCACTCGTTCGACTATTCACACACCGTTAGCAACCAGAAAATATTCGAAAACAGGAAACAAGATCACATCGTTCACTAAAAGCGAAAGGAGAACTAGTGCTAGCGAATGCTAGCTTATGTAAACGAAGTTCCTATTAAAAGTATTGACAAATCACATATAACACATTAGACTTTGTTCAGATTTATCGATGAGTTTTCTCATTATTTTTTGATGTGTGTCTCAAAGATTTTGGCCACCGATTTTCTAATGTTTGTTTTATGCATATTTTTTTTTTTACCTTTTTAATGAGTTTCTGATGAAATGTCAAAAATGAATCACAGGGAACTTGATAGAATTTATTAAGATCCCTGAAAGAGTTTCTATTTGGCTCGACTTGCAAAATGCAAACTGCAAACGCGTATGCATTAAAATATGTAGTTTCACGAGAAGTTTTATGTGTAATTTTTTCAGAGCTAAATTCAAGGGTTTCAAAATATTCCAAAATTGAAATAAAAAAAAAACGTCGGAGGTTCATTTTCTACTCCCTATACCGGATGTTAGTGGCCTGCACACTGGTCTGTGAGCTTGCTGCCAGGTGATGATTGTTCATATAATTTGTTGAAAGTATAATTATAGCGGTGATCTTGTTGATCGCCAGCCTCTACTATTAAACAGTTCTAGTATGTCGTTGCTGGCTCTTACGAACGCAACACGCAATAGTATAGTGTACGCTCGAAACAACCTGCTCGGACCGATTTTAGTTTTGCGTTCTGTAAGCGTTACAGAGTGAACACCTCTCAAGGCTTAAATGGTTAAATTTGCCACAGCTATATAACACCTACGTGCTTACGGTGCCACCATACTCCTCCTCCAAATAAATGTTTAAAATTAAAACGTTTCCGATCATTTTATTTCAATAAACCAAGACATAACTGCCTGGTCAAGGGCAGTTTTCTGCGGGGTACGGAGACTATACGAGTAGGAGTGCATAGCCAAACTCGATCACATGTGTCCGTCATATAACTCCGCCGAAAGTTCACCTTTTATCAAGCTATCGAGGGAAGAAATCGATGACCTACTGATGTCCAGTACAAAGCGATAGCTTCGGCGATTTTTTGAAGAGTCGTTCGGCCGTCGGCGATGAATAGCGCGAAGGGGCTTAGCGTTGAGCAGACCGCAGCGCTGACGTATCTTGCGAGCAGTGAACATTTTCACTGTGCACTCCTTTGGCTGCACGCCGACCTGTCGCGACTGCGGTAGGTCCCGGGAAGAATGGCCAAGCTGAACACCACGTAATTTCACGTAACACTAAGCCTCGCGAACACCACGTCGCCGATGCTGCGCCAGTCGAGGTAAACGCCATCTTGAAATTGGTGCTGCCGCTGGGCCCGAGATATTTCTACAGCTTCAGGCAAAGCCCGTTAGCCCGCAACGCAAGGTCCCCTGCGTGGCGTGCGTGCGCGATACACTGGTTGTATCGCACACGCACGCCACGCCTATTGCGCTTATGTACGTTTTGAAATTCAAACTTTGCAAGGCGTGCCAAATGAGTTAGTGCTTACGGCCACGCCCTGTACTTTTAAGAACACGTTGGCAACCGTGTGTCTAGTGTGTTTTGAACATTAGCAGCCCTCTCATCTGCCCGGCCTGAAAATAACAGATGAAAAACATCCGCACGAGAGTCAATGAGATCGAGACCCAGCGGTGGACGGACAGGGCAGGACAGAAGCCAGCACTGGTCTTGTACGCCAGGGAGTAAGAGGAGACGAGGAAGTTTGTGTTTATGGACAACGGCCAGGTCAGTGTACTACTGTTCGACGCCCGGTGCGGTATACTCCGGTTTCATGTGTTCCGAGCGAAGTACACAGACACCTACGTGCGATGCGCCCTGTGCACAAAAGGGTCCCAAGGTACAATGCAGTACGTCATCCGGGAGTGCGCGAGCCTGCTCCCGACGGTGCCCTCAGGTGGAGACATGGATTCGGCGCTGGGTTTCTGGGAAATCGACAAAGACGGCGGCGACACGGGCAGCGGACTTCGGCCTGTTCCGGTGGTGAAGTGGACAGAAAGAAGATTGGACCACTGGTGGAAGAGCAGTACTGTGACAAATACTCAACAGAAGTATTTAAGATAAGATAGTTAATACACATGTCAGATTGTATTTAAAGTAAAGTATTAGTTACTTTTACAATGAACTATCTTGAGCAGAGTGCAAATAATTTGAAAAGCAATTGAAGTACATTCGAAGATACTCGGCAAGTAGGTTGCAAGCTGGTAATATAACAAAAAACGAAGTCAGAAGAGGATGTTTTACTTATGATGACTCCGCTGAAAATTTCATTCTGCTGTGATCTTCATTACTTTCAAAAAAAGACTTAGCTGCTCCAATTGAAGTTTACTTATTAGGTACATGCAACATAATGTGTACCAAAAGATTTTATGAACAAGAAGGACGCACCTATTGTAGCCATAGGAACTGGTGTGCTTTAGTTTGGCGGCAGACTCGGGTCAAGACTCATTCCGCAATAAGTTCGTAATTCTCCTTGACGGGATTCGGCCCATCTGACACTAGTCTGGCATGGAATATCCTTAACAGCCGAACTAGAAGTTGATCAGGCAGCCAGACCTTACGATGAGTTAGTGAGTGAACTACAAACGTACACGCTCAGGAGAAACATCGGCTAGAGGACTGCAGCTTCTGTCGCTGATCAACAACCAACAGGGAGTATTTTCGGGCGAGAAAGAGCGCGTGTACCTTCAAACTACGAAAACAAATATTAGGAAGGTTGAGAGAGAAACACTTTTAAAACAAGAGAGTGTTCAGGAAACCGCTTTCTATCTTTGGCTCCACGGGACGAAAACCTGGTTTGGAGTATTTTGAGAATGATACAATGTGCGCCGTCGGAAAAAGATAAAAGAAACGCATTGAACGAGCTTGGGAGCCAAAGTTCAAATACAATATGCACACGACGGGCCTTGTGGGAGCCCACTCTAGGTCAGTGCAGCTCAATAATGCCAGCAGGATCTAGATTCCGTGGCGGAGGGAATGTTCGCGCTCATTTAAAAACTGCTCGCGCATTTTCATACCACAACCCCTGAACAGGTGAGCCACTCTGCTTCAGAGAAAAGTTGCCAAATCCGGATGACATCACCATCGCTTTGCTAGCTCTAAGCGTAACGTGTCATTCAAAAACAACTTAAAAGAACCAAACAAAAAAGTGGACAAGAGGACATAAAAAGGCGGGCGTACTTAGGGCTTTCTATTTGGTCTTTTGTTGAATTTCGGAGACTGCGTTTTGCTCGCGTGCTTTGTGTCTTGTCCTGTGTTTTGCGGCTTGCCTCCAGGTTTGCAATCTTTTCAGCTTTACCCTGGAGTCTGATGATCCGTATTTCGGTAGATTGGTACGGCGACAATAATTTTCGGAAGTTGAAAATGTAGTTGAGATACTGAGTACAAAATAGTGATAAATGTAATTAAGATAGAGTGAAAAGTAATCTAGAAGAAATGTATTTGTAAGATACCGAAATGCTAAGCCAAGTGGTTTAAATACATTATCTCAAGTAGAGTATTTAGAATAGGCACAAGGCTGCGAAAAAGAAACTATGAGGAAATTAAGGGAAAAACTGGATAGATCCAGGACCCTGGGATCCCACGGTAAAAAGGAGTTAGCCTGAAATTCATGTCTATATCAATGATGCGTGCAGTTATTTAACGTTTCCTAAATGAAGAAACATTATTATGTGAATAATTAAAACAAGAAACTTATAATACAAAGCACTTGCTGGAAAACGAACCTAGAGCTTATATTTGTATACCCTTTAGAATTATTAACTTCTGATATTATCGCGAATGTCGAAATTGCTTCTTAAACACGGCGTAGCAGAGAAGCATCCAGACATGCAATTATAATATAAAAAAAAACGGCAAAACATCAGAAGGAAATCTTTATTTGCAACGACCGTAGCAATCAGTATTCAAAACTAAGAAATCAAGACAATATCCGTAAGTTCCTTCGAGGCGCGACAAATCGCACCTATTTAGATCACGCAACGCGCAAACGATAGTGATACGTAAACAAAAACTTGACGGCGTACTGACCAGGAAAACAGCGAACTTCAAATGCATACGTTGAATAGAACAATCACAAGTAAACCCGTTTGAATGACACTCGACATCACTTGAGACGAAGCACGGTAGATTTGATGCACACGGCTCATCTCGCTGCTCCCGAGTCTCGAACTGGACGTCTGCCAAGGTCTACTGCGAACGAGGGCCAGAAAACCTGGAAGATTTCACAGTGTGTAGGCAGCCGGCCCTGCGACCACCTCCGATCCCGGGCCGGCTTTCCGGGCCAGCCGGATAGCCACTTCCTCGTCCTCGTCCCAAGCCGCTTTCTCAAGAGCGATGCTCCATCGTTTCCGCGCGGTCTGTCTTTGCCCCTGTAACCAGGTGCCTACGCGCTGAACATCAGCTTGAACCAGAATTGTTGCTACAAACCAGTAAAGCCCGACTAACCAGTTAAGGCAGCGTAACAGCCAGCCCAGCGGCCCAGTAGCTATGCGCGGTTCGACCGAGCGAGACCTCCCTACAGTGTCGTATCCGGCGCTACCACGGAGAAGGGTTTCGCGACCCTCGCTGATTTTCTCGAACACGCCTAGTTCTCTGTTGAACTGTACTCACATGCATTCGATCAAAATCCTTAATCCGAGCTAATCAAGACGATGTGTACAGGTGATTAGTGAGTTGGAAATGACCTGTATTTGTCTGTGTGTGAATCATCAGAAGGTAATAATATGCGCGTGCTATCGTCCACCCTCTTGCAATGCATCTTTTGTTGTCAATCTTCATGACGTGCTAGACTCAGTTTTAGTGCGCTTTCCTTCCTCGTTGGCGATTTTAACTATTCATATATATCATGGAATAGCCTGCATGCTAAACAGGTCTATAGCTATTTCCACGATGGGCACCAAATAGCCAATTGCAATTGTCATCTACGAGCAAGACCCACATTCATGCGCTTAAAAAAAGCAGTCTGTTTGTTGTCGATATTCAGTCAACCGTCTGAGTGAAATAGGGCAGCGCACGATCGAATCTATAAAGAAATTTATATTGAAGAGCGATACACTTACATACAAAATATGACTATCTAGATATTTAAACAAATACAGTAAGATAGGTTTTTGAAGTCGCACGTCCCTCGTGAGGCTGATGACATCAAGCGCTGGGCCTGATGATCTGCGTCACAAGTGTCGTGCTTGAGACTTGATAATGATTTCTTGACGGAGGCAGTCGCTTAGTACCAGAGATCGCTGCCGAGATATATTCGAGCTCCGGTGGAGGTGGTCTAGAATACGACCAGACTATTGATAACTCTGTGCTTTTATATTTTAGTTTCGTAGTGCCTTTATTCCTTCTCTCTTTCTGCAATATATCTGTATTCCTCCCGTCATCGCGCACTCTTTTTTCATCTTGAATGGTTGAGCCCTGAAACGTGACATTTGTAGTCAGTTTTGTATTTATCACATCGCAATCTATCTTGCTAAGATGTACGTCCCGGCCGATAACGACATCTAGCATGTGCCTTTTTTATTCAGAAGTAACTTCAAAATAGTATTTTGATATGGAAAAATAAAATGAATATTTCTAAAGGACATTTAGACCGGCTACAACGACTAGATGTAAACTATTCGTAATAATTTAGTTTAAATTACCACTACTTTCCCAGTCGCTTTACCTGCAATTTTTTTTAAACATATTCAATCTTCTTACCGAATGAAGGTTAAACAAACGAATAAACAGATGTTTTTATTTTTTTTCAGTACAACAGTCAACTGACAAGCAAGTGCATAGAAAACACATGCGAGCACCCAGACAATCCCATATATAAGAAGGATAAGGAAACAAACAACAAAGAAAACAAAGAAGAGGAAAAGCAAAATGAAAACGAAAGAAAGGAAGAAGTGCCAAAGGAAGACGAGCAAAATGAGGAGAAGGTGGAGGAACCTAAAGAGGAGAAGGATGAGGAAGAAAACGAAGATAAAGAAGAAGTGGAAGAAGAGGAAACAAGTACGGGCACACAGGAGACTTAAGAATTCAGAAAGCAGTCAAAAGCGCCTGCGAATGGTTGGGTGGACTGTCATTTTGTCTGAGGTCGTATGTTTAAATAAAAACCCATGGCGTGAATGTCATATGAGTTTTTTATGATATTCTTATAAATAATGTATATTACACCTACACCTATTAAAAATGGTGATATTTGTGTCTATTCATTCTGAATGGATTGAGTTTAGTCTGACTGTTATAATTTTGTTTTGGTGTATTCAAGCTGCCTATAGTAGTAGGAAAAGTGCACACGATCGACCCAATAATCAATCAATAAGTATTGCGCCCTTTCAAAACTGGTCGTAATCGCCAGTAGGTATTGCGCATTTTCAAGAATGGTAGCCCTAAATGACCGATCTCACCAGTATGTTTCGTTAGGCCACCACTGCCGACGTATATCGTGGGAACTGTAGTCTTTCAGCACGAGCGAGAACCTCATTGAAGCTCTACGCGAGCCGAGCACGAGACGGCACAAGCTATTCGGTGCACTTGCGCCTTTCTCCTGTGAACTATATAGTTATGGCGGCGTCACGCATGCATGAAACGCTCAGTGAGGTCGGTCTATTAGTAATCGCCAAGGGTACTGGCCTCGAGACCAAGATTGAATTGTGTGGAAGCGTGCTTTTGTTCATACATGGCTCTCTATGAGGCACGTGTTGATTCCATTTGTCCACTATTGGCGACGTGCGCGATCGAAAGCGTTGCTGTCGTCGGCCGACTGACAATGACGTCAGGAAAGGATATATCATCGACGGAAATAAGAGGAATGTAAGAACTTCAATTTTGACGGTGTTGTCAATGATCCTTTTGAGAGCACAATGATTTCAAGCTTCCACCATGCTAATTACAAACACCATCGAACTTGTTGTTCGGGAGGTAATGACGTCACGAGAGGGAACCATAGGAGGGCGCCACCAAACATCTCGCCCCTAATGCGGGTGGAGGCAAAGCATCCACAGAAACGGCACAGATAACGGGCAAGGGTGCAGAGCACGAGCTCCCGCCAGTTTATTCCAGTGCGCGAGCACTGCATTGGCGCCTCCCTTGGCCTCGGCTTGCGTGCGTAGAATTCGTGCTGCTCCAAGAAAGTGCAAAACAATGCGTTGTTCTGTTTGTCACCATATGAGCCGTGTCGATCAAATTTCGAGTCGATTTGCGCAATTTCAAGACCTGTAGCTGTAATTACCAATAACTATTGCGCTATATCAAAACCGGCAACTCTAATGAACGCATATTTAACACCCAATAACTGGGTAAGTTTTGAACTGTTGAGAGTTGTGCTACCGTAATGACGTCATGGTGACGCAACACCTGCCGAGCATAGGGCGCCAGACGGAGAGAGCGGCGATGCCGCCAGGCCTCACCACGTGATGTGTTCTTTTTTTGTCATGCCACCACGTGATCGCGTGGTCACGTGACGCTTGTGTCGGCGCTCTGCCACCAACGGCCGCCAGGTGGAGCACCTGGCACCAGGTGGCGCAACCAGTTGCCGTCGGTGGCTCCGCCGTCGGTAGGACGGGCCACCACGTGACGTACTTCCTTGTGACGTGCAACCCCGTGGTACGTCACGTGACGCCGTACCACGTGACGCCTCTGCCGCCACACTGACACAGTGCGGCGGCATAGTGCGGCCAGCTGTTGCATCCGGTGCAAGCCCACGGGTGACACAACCGTGTTGCCACCGCGTAACGTTTCTAAAACACTTAGTTGGAAAACTCACTCGTGAAACCTTAAGCGCTGGCGTCCACCGAGACCGAGCTAAATACGATAACAGCGCCACCCTTTAGCGAAGAGTTGAAACATTAATAGTTGTTTTATGTGCTTACTGCTAGAGTCACTGAATGTTCACGGAGTACCGAAACTTCCAGGCTCAAGGTGCCAAGATGGCGGCTCAATCTTTTTCTTTTGCTGTGGTCCCCATGAACTTATACAAAGCATGCATTTGCGTAAAAACAAACAGAAAAAACTCTTCTTGTAGGACCTTCCATAAGAGATTATTAAAGAATAACAGACGTGTGATGCTTTATAAAGCCTTTTGTTTACAAGGTTTTGCAGTACAATTAACCTTATTTTTATGCAACCATCTCTCACCGGTGATTTCCCGTAGCGCGTCCAGGCCTTGGCGCATCCCAATTTCGGTATTAATTCGCGGAGCGTCCGCTTGGGAGCAGACTTGTACGTAACGCGTTACAAGTAATTGATTACTTGTAATCAACTACATTTAAGAGTAATTTTGTAGCGCTTCAATTACATTTGTCAAGCTTTAACGCTTGGAGTAATTCAATTACAAAGTTAGCAATTACATATTTTCCGCACGATTTGCTTTCTCACGAAAATCAGCGTCATTTTCAGAGTCACTCAGCCATGCAGCAAAAATGATTAAGAAAGTTTTTTATTGGAACATCTAAAAAAAAGAACTAGAATTAGTCGGCAACTTCTATTTTTCTTACGCCAGCTCTTTTACAAGCGCGCCATCAGCCTTGGCTGGGGAGTTCCGGATCCCATTACAGATTGCGGATAAAGTAGACGAGAATTCGCTATCGACTTTTTAGTGGGCTTTCTTCCTTAGGTCGACACGTGACACAGACGACAAAGTCCGGGTCTAGGAATAAAATTCTAAAAAAAACGGACGGACATATGCAAGGTCTCAAACGCAGCTGAAATTTATTCTACAACGAAATCCTCCACAAAACACAAGAGACGAGAGAAATAGAGAGAGAGAAGTGGGGGAACCCCGAGCCACAGGCAGTACAACAAAGCAATTTTTACAATATAACTGAGAAGCGGTGACCTCATTTATAAAAAAACTAAATCTACGTTCGCGCCCTAACGTTTTGATCTAAAAGGCTTTTAAAAAGGCCGTCATACCGGAAACACACTAGGACATTAACGAGGTGGTCTCCTACCGCCACTTGCAATGAAATGATTCATGCGACACGTTTTTTGCTTCTGATTGGCTTCAACCAGTTGTAGCCTTGGCAGTACTGCACTGATTTAGCGACGCAGTGTTCTTTATAGCCATCCTTTTTATATTATTCATTGTGTGATCTGGTCAACAAAGGCCAACAAGATCCCATTGCCGATCTTTAACGAATCCACGACATCAACTCCAGGACGGGGGGGAACGCATGGTCTTCGCGGTGTTATAAAACGGGAGCCCTTCTTATGATTTCGGCAGTTCGTTATTATTTTTGGAACGCATAGCATTATAAAGGATCGAGGCATAGACTCCCCTTGGCATCAGCTTGCCCATATGTTTAAAGTTAAGGACTCCAAAGATAAAATGAACCTGTCGTTCGAGTGTTCGCTTTGCTGACCACTACAAAAGATTCTTTCCCGCTCAAGGGACACAAACTCCAACCTGCGGACGCACAGCAAGGTAAGGTGCATTTTTGTGCTGATAACAATTTTAATAAATAATTTGCAATACGTTTAGCGTAATATCCTTCATTTTATGTCCTTACAGTTCTCCTAATTAAGGTACACAGGACAGCTTTTGTAGATAAGCACCAACTGAGCGCTGGCTACTGCATTGTTGGGTGCTACATATTTGGAAAGGAGATTTCAACTCTTAGGTATCGCATCATTTATTTTAATAAAATACTGCTGCCGGGGGGGGGGGGGGGGGGGGGGAGGTAGGGACATTGGCTTGTGTTATCTGCGATGATTTCATGCTATGAAAGGAGGGTATCAAATGCAAATGAAATAATATTTATAACTCTAAACCTTACCATTATTTAGTACTATTTTCAAAGACAACACCCTGTCAGTTTGTCAGAGTTCAAGAATCTGCTGCAGAAGCGGAAGACCTGTGAAGCCCTAACCCCTAAACGCGAACAACCGAAGATTTCGTCTGCGAACGAAACGATGTCCCAGGTGAAGCTCGACAGGCTCGCGCTCAACTTCGTCGCCGACTCTTCGCAACCGTTTTCGGTTGTAGAGGCTGGAAGCTTTGTGAACCTGCTTCAATATGCGGCAACGAACTGCACACCTATGACGAGGAGGATGCAAATTACACGGCTGGATGCAAGCTATGTCGAAATGAAGCTCCGGCTAAAAGAATCCCTCGCAAGCGTTCCTTGGTCGCGGCCGACTTTTGGACAACGTTTCGGCGGTTCGTTCGGCGGTATGTTCAAGAGTTCTATGTTTAATTCCGCCAAACGATTTTGAAGACGAGGAAGAGTATTTTGCAACATCTGAATTCCATAATTTGTTCTGGAGTGCGGCACTAGCCACGTATCGGCGCTGCGTGTAGCATAAATCGTGTCTCTAATTGTCATCTGTGAGATAGACAGAAATACATTTCCTTTTTTGATGAAAATACTTTTTATAGGTAATACAAAATTTATAATTATAGAAACTTGGAATCTGTACAATATGAAGTTTTTTTAAACAACTGTATTGTATGGGCATCGTATGCATCATGGCATATAATACGCAACACTTTTTTTTTTTTGCAGAATTTGTATCTGCTTAAAATTTGTGGACGTTGTATTCCCCCAAACCAAGAAGCAGTAATTATAATGCACATAAAAGAAGGAATGATATATAAGAAGCACTGCACACATTGGGAGTATATGACGATGTTTGTACATAACACCTACGATCTTTGAGAGTGTTTGACATATATAATGTGCCATTTCATCCCATAGCATGTATGTATTAAATATTACACCCAAAACTCTAACACTTTCGACTATATCTATCTTATGGGTACCGAGGGAGAGAGCAGAGATATGAAAGCAATTCGTATTTCTTGCTCTAAAAAGAACGGCTTTAGTTTTAATACAATTAAGTTGCCAGGAATAATCTTCTACTGGATCGACGTCTTATTTTCGGGTAGGGCAATACGCTGTAGCTCGGCTTCGTAAAATGACGCGAGTACGGGCTCCTTCCTTACCATGCAAACGATGTGGTAAGTTGTGGGAACGTCTAATCGGACTCGGTCGACGATAAATATCTAAACAGTCCGTGAAAGACTGTTTATACCTTCTTTTAAAAGAATGGCGTTCCTTCGATATGCGCGCGTGGTCGCCAACCTCAAATATAAGGTTTTTGATGAGTCCGGGAGG